AACTTATTAACTCATTTACAGCATTAAAAGTAACAGACTGAGTTTTGTGGCCACTCATGAAAACATTTGCAGTTAGTTGATTATTTTTTTCAATGATGCTGATCAATTTTCTGATCAAAGGCTACACATTTTTATCAAAAATCAAATTTAAGAATACTAAGTGTTTTGATTTTTTTTATTATTATTAATATGTTTCAATTTCAGGAAGAGAAGTGTTAGATGTTATTTGTACAAAAAAAAATTACCCTGTTTTAACATGGGGTCTATTTGGGGCTATAATCCACTATATCTTCTAGTACACTATAGTAATGGTATGAATAAAATAATATCTGGGTGTGCTTTATTAGTATTTTCATATAAAGCTATTGAAATATATATATCTTCAATTTAATTATTGAATGAAGTTGTTCTGTTTCAAGTTGAACCAATTTGTGCTGTATATTAGTTATAACGCTTCTGGAAAAAGATAATTATGTATATTTGTCAGTTTTTTTTTAATCTAAAATAACTCACTGCTTCAATAATGCATTCCAAATTATTTCTACATCACTAAATAGTTTATCGCTGCCCAGAGGGTATAGTGCTTTGAGAGCCTGACTGATACCGAAGGGCCTGGGTTTGAATCCTGGAGAAGGCATAGTTGTAACTGTCCGTCCTTTCATAGGAGGCAATGGTGGCCCACCTATTAGGTGCCTCCATAATAAAGAGACCACCACACACCACAGCTGGCCTTAGTATAGATTAATGGACTCTGTTGCAGATGTAACTGTTCAAAATCTGCCATTGGGGGGGGGGGAGTTTATCTTTCTTTCCAAGTATATGTGTTATTTTGTTTGTATCAATTGTAATATTATTTATAAAAGCACTAAAAGCCATCTTTAGGTAATTGTTTTTTTTTTTTTTTTTTTTTTTCAATTTTTAAAGCACTTTTTAATGAGATTCCCTAATCCAATTTAGCATATTTATGGTCTTTATGCGTTAAATAATGTTGATTTACATTAGACATTTTCAAACTTGTTAATACCATTTTGCATAACGAGCTGTCACAGAAATAAAAAAAAACTTAATTTCCCACCCTGTATTGAATGCTGTTTTTTCTTCATACAATTTTTTTTGTTAAACATCATGGATGATTAATGTACTATTAAATTTTGTGTTTAAATATTTAAATCAAAGAGCAGGCAATCAACTTAATGACAGATAACTGGTATATGGCTGTGTTCAGTTGCTGTGTGTTGTAGCTGTGCCGAGTGAACATCAAGATGTTAAGAACAGAACAAAACACCGCTAGGCAGCCACAGGCTGAGAGCATGAGTTGCATGTAAAACCAGTATCACAGTTACTCTCAATAGTGCATCGAATGAAACATTTCTGAAATTCTTGGCTTCCAGGATATCTAATTACGTGAAAAGAGCTTGTTGGCGAATTTCTTGTAAAAGTTTCTATAGTGCCATGTGTTTATGTATGAAAAGTTTTTCATAAGGATTATAAATTTTAATATTGTTTGTATTAAAGCCTTAGTGCTTAATTACTTGTTAATAGGCAAACATTATTATTTAATCTCATTATTTTTTTAAATTATTATTTGAAAACATAGACACCCCATTCACCACAGTTGTAAAACATGGGGCTTATAGAAATAAGTTAATTAAAACATTAAAAGTTGCATGCATAAGTAAAATGAACAAAAGCAGAGAACAGCAGTCTGGATTTCGCGAAAACAGATAAGTTCACTGGCCAAGTCACTCTGAACATTTTCAAATCATTCTGCAAGCAAAATCTATGGCCATCAAATGTTCTACATCCTGAGGTACTCTTCTGGAACATTCACATAAATTGTTTGATCGTAGATTAAAACAAAACAGGTAACTTGCAAATTTACTGTGACCAGATAAAAACTGAGAAACTTTAAAATTAATAGAGAGGAAAAACAAGGAATGCAGTCTATGATAAATAGAAGGAAAGAACTTTTTGGTGACCTCAGCATTACAAGATGAAATATATTCATTATTCCACTTAGCTAAAAGCTTCTTATAATGAAAGGACTTTGGAACCAGTAGCTCTATGGAATGCTAATGTTGATATGATTGGGTAAATTTAAGGCATCTTTAGCTAAGAAATCAGCTCTTTCATTTACATAGAAATCGTGATAAGCACATACATAAGCAAAGCGGATATCAATTTTGCTATTTCTAAGCGAACTGACAGTTAATAGCGTTTCAATAACTAATTTGTCACAGCTGGTAAAACTGTTCAAAAGATGAAAAGAAGAAAGAGAATCAGAACAAATAAGGTAACTTAAGGATGCTGTCCCATTATCCTTGATCCATTTGACAAGATAAATATACAGAAATTGTGCTTGAAAAACTATGCATTCATTTCGTACACAGTGTCTAAAATAACAAACCTCGGAATGGCCTTCATAAAGAACAAATGCAAGGCCAACCTTGTTGTTCATCTTGCTCCCATCTGTAAAGAAACCATATGAAAACTCATATAATTGCAGAAATTTATGGGATTTTGGCTGAAATTCCGTAATATATTTTTATTAAATATAGATCTCAGTTCCTCGAACAGAAAGCCTTGACGGCTATCTGCGTAAGGGGAGGGATGGCTTTGTGGAGGACTTTCTAAGGGAAACTGGCTCGTATACACGTTACACATGGGGAAAACCACAAAAACACCCATGCAGCCAGCCCGTTCGCGGGATTCGAACTCGGACCGAACTACCAGTGTTCAGCGAAAGTATTGTAATCGTGAAAAGTTTCAGGCAGCATATTTCAACGAAAATATCCATTTTTACCGCTACCGAATGCAATTTAATGATGTTTTTGCGTGATATCTGTACGTAAGGACAGAATAAAAGACTCATTTCCTCCAAAAAAATTATAAAACTGCTTTAAAATGAATTCTGAAGACAATTTTTCGAGGTGTCTGTACGAACGTGTGTACGTACGTATCTCGCATAACTCAAAAACGAGTAGCCTCGGAACGTTGAAATTTTGTATATAGGACTGCTATAACATGTAGATGTGCATCTCGTATTTTGGTTGCAATCGGTCGCACCAAACGTATATAAATATATTTATATATATATATCCACTCTGTTACCCGGCTCAGTGATCTCAGTTTCTTTACTCTTATATGTATGTAAATTGTACATTCTTTGCTTTAAAAATTATTGAATTATGTTGTTTTTATCTTCCGGTTAAGCTTTTTATACCATTAGTAAATCTGTGTGCAATAATTTTAGAATTATCAACAATTTTAAAGTTGTTTAAGTGCCGCTAAGCCTAATCCTTTTCTTGATGGCGGCCATTGTTTGTTTACATTTGAAACAGCAGACTAGTGGATTTGTTGCCAATCTAGAGAAACGTAGCTTCGCAACAACAAAAATAACGCCTTCATTTATTATTGCCAATTAAATCATGTTCAATCCTTTCGAGGAAATAAGTGTTAAAGATTTACTTTGTAATTTTAATATAGATATTTTGAGTTTTATGTATTTTTGCCTTCTCGCGAAGTGGAACTGAATTAATTGAATGAGAATCTCAATCGTCTGTGAAAAAACTGTTTCTTTTTTGTTTTGTTTGCTTAATTTCTTTTATACAGTTCTAGCTTTTATTTAATATTTGAATAGAACATGTGGCAATGATTAGATAATCTATTCTTTAAAGATATAAATTTGTGCATCATGAGTTATAATATGTACAAATATATACTGTTAAGTGAAATACGCCAGAGTGTCGCTATGGTGAAAATACAGTCAAAAGTCGTTAATCCGGACTCGTTGGGACTTCGGCGATTCCGGATTATCGATTTTTCCGGATTATAGATCATCAGTTTAAATCTCGTAAGATGGCATGCAGAAATTCTAAAATTAAAAATATGAAACCGTAATTTATGAAATAAAGAACAATTATGATCTAAAGGGTATCAAAATTTACAAAAAAAAAAAGCTTAATATTTATTTGTTTACTTTATTAAACATTTCTTTCAATGTAAGTTGTTTAAGTTGCTTCGTTTATGTGATAATACTTTCTCTTTAATTCTATAAAACAGACATAATTTCTTGTTCAGTTACTAAGTTCCGCTGTTCAAGTCCCGTTAATTGCTGTGCCGAGAATACCGACTAACTTGTCAATCGAAATTTTTTCGTTTTCACTAACCTCTCTGTCACATTCTTCATGTCTTTATCCATTTTTTGCAGCAATTCCACTTTTGTTTGTTGGACATCGAAACATACTTTCGTTTTGTAGATCCTTTGGAAGTTCCAGCATCGGAAATTCTATTTGACATAATCGAAAGTTCAAGTTTACTTTTATAAAATTGCTCTTACAGTCTGCAAAAAATAATAAGCGGGATCCAATTCGAAGATTAAGGAACAACGCAATCATTAACATTAACTGAAATAGATAATTAGATAATTTTATACATTACAAAACGCGCAGGCGAAAATGTATTCTGCACTTGCGCACACGCATATGCGCAGTAGTCAAGGTCTTACGCGCACACGTAAAACGCCTGTGCACATGTGCCAACGCGGCGCATGCGCAGAAAGTTTTCAGCTTTGAGGTCCGGATTATAGATCATTCCGTATTATGGGTGTCCGAATTAACGACTTTTGACGGTACTAGAGTGAATCTTTAAGAATGCATTTATTCTATTGTGGTTTATGCGTTGTCGGCGAAGTAGATTTAATTCAAGCCAATTAAGTTTAAATGAAATGCAAGAAAAAATGTGTATAATTTAATATCCCGTACAAGGAAGTCACGTGGTGTACACATCAGATTTTTTAATATTAACATCCGTTATGAGTTTACCATTTACTTGCATTTCAAAATCTAGTCAATTACATTTTGCTGTACCAAAGTACAAATATAAGTATCAAAGATAATCGAAACTCCAAGTTAGACAGAAAGTTACAAACTTAAATATTGATTTGTAAGATAATATTTTATTTAAATACTACATGCTCTAAAAAAAATATTTTATTATAGTATTCTAGATTACAACAAGTAAAGGAACTGCTACTTGAAGTTGCCTTGTGTTTCATTGAGCAAATTGATGGTACTTCCGCTGATGTAGTGTTCAACAAATGAATGTGTCACATTAATGCTTGTAAGTTTCAAGAAAAATTATTATTTGTAAAATACATCATAATGTATGCTATGCTTTTTAAAAGAGAGTTATACATATTAATTTCTGCCTTTAGAAGCTAAATTAACCCTCTGACTGCTCAATTTGTAGACCGAAATCGCTTCAAAAATTGTGTAATTTTTTTTCCTCATATTTTAAATATATATGCGATGTATCAGCTTTTGTCCAGAATAAATAGATTTGTGAAGATGTAGTCGTAGCTTAAATAATCAGACGATAAGTTTAAAAAACAGGACCCATTTATTATTATTTAGGAGAAATAGTAGTTAAAAATCAGATATACGGAGTAAATAAAAAGAATTACTAATAACTTTTTGTATGTAGTTTACTGCATCATGACATTTAAGAAAAAGCTCCGATATTCCTTTTGTGAATCTTTTTATAGCCTCTGGAAAGGCGGAGCTTCCAAGAAATGACGTCAGCCAATCCAGTTCGCTTTAAATATTTCGAGAACATACTATAACTGTACATGTAGAAAAGGCGAGAAAAACAACTTGACTACGGGGCTGTGGATTTAATTCTACTTTCAATTAAGAACGTCGCCATTAAAAAGAAATGAACATACAGTTAGAATTTTAGTGTATTCTTGACTATGGAATTTTTTATTACATATATATATATATATATTGGAGAATGAAAAATCAACGTTTTTTTCTAGAAATTTTTTTATAGAGTTTTATCATGAAAATCTAAAGTTGCCAGAAAACCAATTTCAGATATTAGCGACCAACTATTTTTTTTTAATAATTCAGTCAAATACAGTAATTTCTATTTATTGCATAATAAAAAAAGCAAAATGTATAAATTTAGAAATATAAAGCACTGAAAAAACACTTGAATGCACTTAGTATGAGAGTTCAAAAAGGCTTCAAGGCAAAGTCCAGCTTCACAACATTTTGACCAATCAATTATTAATCTCTAATTATAAATCTAATTAATATTCAATAATTTAATAAATAAACGATAATCGCTGAACATTTTCTAGCAGCCATTTCTGTAAAAAAGCGGCAAAAAGTGAAGTTTGAGGGGTAATACCACTTGCCTTCAAATGCCACAATTTAGTGGACATCTAACGATATCTGTTAGCTGAAACGTAAACTAAACATCTAATACAGTTAAAAGTCATTAATTCGGACACCCACAATTCGGAATGATCTATAATCCGGACCTCAAAGCTACAAACTTTCTGCGCATGCGTCCCGTTGACGCATGGGCATATGCATTTACGCATGCGCATAAGACCTTTATGGCTGCACATATGCGTGTGCGCATGCGCATAATACGTTTACGCATGGGGGTTTAATGTATAACGGACGGTATAAGCTAAAATTATCTAATTATTTACTTCAGTTAATGATGCAGATTGTGTTGTTCCTTAATCTTCGAATTGGATCCGGCTTATTATTTTTTGCAGAATGTTAGAGCAATTTTATAAAAGTAAGCTTTAACTTTCGATTATGTCAAATAGAATTTCCGATGCTGGAGCTCCCAAAGGATCTACAAAGCGAAAGTATGTTTCCATCAAACAAAAAGTGGAATTGCTGCAAAAAATGGATAAAGGCATATCCTTTGTTCCTCTAACCATTCCGAAATCTGTTTATCTATTTCACGCCCCTGCGCGCAATGAATTGGAAGTTGATCTGTCAGCACTATCCTTCTCTTCAGGGCAGATGTTTTTATTTTATTTGGCTTATAATTCCTTACTAAATGTAGTATTTCATCTCGTTGCACTCCGTCTTTGAAATGATTTAAATCAAATTCCTCGTCATTATAATTCGCTTCTGATAGTGAAGAAAGTATCACATAAAACGAAGCAACTTAAACAACTTACGTTGAAAGAAATGTTTAATAAAGCAAACAAATAAATATTAAGCTCTTTTTTTTTTTTTTTTTTTTTTTTTTTTGTTAAATTTCGATACCCTTTAGATCATAATTGCTCTTTATTTCATAAATTACGGTTTCATATTCTTAATTTTATAATTTCTGCATGCCATCTAACCAGATTTAAACTGATGATCTATAATCCGGAATCGCTGAAGTCCTGATGAGTCCGGATTAACGACTTTTGACTGTGCTGTATATAATTTATTTCAATGTTTAAGCGGGGGAAAAACAGGATGCACTCCTCAATAAAGGAAGAAAAACAGATGCCCGCGAAGATCACGGGATGAGCAGATTTTGCTACGTTTGAGTTGCACATGGAAATCGCGGGATGAGCAGCCAGAGGGTTAACATTCATTAGTTTAAGTAAATGGGTTTCCATTGTAGATGTTATTTAAATGCCCAGTTTAAAAGTATTGTATTATTTATTTTATTATTAATAGTGAAATGCATAAAAGTTTGATGATTAAGAGGAGAGATATGCTTTCGTAGATAGATTCCTAAAGAAACTGATAGATATTTAGGGGGAATAAATTTTGCTGTTGACAGTCAAACTCTAGCCATGTAAACTGAGTTTGCAAGTACTGTAATCTGTTCTATTTTTCTTTCTGTTCTCCTAGTCAAAAAGTTGCAATGGTTTTTCAGACTTTGTAAACTCGGAGAACCCCTAAAATTAAAATTTTTTCTTGCCAAATACCTGAAAATATAATCCATTTTGGTAGAACCTCTACCATCCTCATAAAAATAAATGTTTAGAAAGAGTTGAAATGAAAAAAAAAAGGTTTCGTATCAATTATTTAAAAATTTTTTTTTTTTTTTTTTTTTTTTTTTTTTTTTTTTCCTGTATTTATGTTAAGGTTATGATGATAAAAGAAAAAAATTAATTACTGTGTATTCTAGCATATAACATGCACCTATAATTTGAAACTACATTGTTTAGTTTTTAGGTATATTGATCATACAATGTCCACCTTTTCTTTATAAAGAAACTTGAAAGATACATGTGTGATGCTCTTATCTTTTAAAGTCATTCATTTGAAGATTTTTCCCAAGCTTTCAAACAATGGTGTACTGAAGTCACAAACAATAAGGGGAACAATAATGCATGTGGGGGAAATGTTTGAGGTTGTAAATTATTCTGCAAAGAGGGTGGTTTGTATTCAATGCAGCTGTGCATAACCCTGAAGGAATTCATGGAGTTAGAAGTCACATGTTTTCTCTGTAGGTAGTCATTTTAAATTGTTATTTTGAAGTGACCATCAAAGATTTTAGTAAATTGCATTTGCTTAAGTTGAAATACAGTTAACCTAGTGTTCCTTTTAGTAATAAATGTGGCTTTTGCCAAACGAAACAAATACAGTTCTGCTTTCAAATGCGAAGTCATTCACTTTGCAAAAGAAAATGAAAATTGTGCTGCAGCAAGAATGATTGGTGTTAGTGAAAGCTCTATATATGAATGGATGAAAAATCAAATTATGGTAATAAATATGCCGGAGAATAAATGTGCTTTACATAATAGAGTAATGGAGTAGCCTATCCTAAAAGAAAGTGTTGTAAAATGGATCCCAGAAAATAGCCAGAATGGGTTAATTGTAACAAGAAAGAGTTTATGTTTGTTTGCCTTAAAGGGCAAAAAAAAAAAAAAAAAAAAAAAAAAAAAAAAAAAAAAAAAAAATGCAAATGAAAGTGAAAACTTTAGAGTAACTTTGAGTTGGTATAATCGATTTATAACACAAAATAATTTAGTTCTATGAGGAGAAACAAAAATTTCACAAAGGCTTCTAAAAGATTTTGGCAACGAATTGATAAGTTTCTAAAAGTATGTTATTGACCTACAAAAACAAAAAATTGTTTACTGTCACATATTAGGAATATGATGAAACTCCAGTAATGTTTGATATGATAGGAAATAAGACAATTGATGTGAAAGGAACAAAAGCAGTTCACATTAAAAAAAAACAGGTCACAAAAATCTCACCTCACTGTACTGCTTTCTTGCTTAGTGGGCAGTATAAAATTTAAACTCATGGTCATTTTTAACAATTTCAAGATGGTGCACATTTGTTTAAGACATTCCCTTGGGGCAGATGGAAGTCCAAAATAAATTGTCCCACAGGACAAAGATTTTGCATAGAAAAAAATCACACAAAAAAGTTTTAAGTCCTAACGTCATAATTTTTGGTGTATTTTAGATTATTAATTAAACTATCCTATGCGTTAAAATTAGCATTTGATCCTTTTGACTTTCCAAGAAAATATATATAAAAAATTTTTTACTTTGAGAAATAGTATTCAGAAGTGATATTCAATTTATTTCAAAGTTTTAATTGACAGAAGGCATAAATAAACTTTAAATTTAGTTTAAAAAATACAAGAAAGACTATTTACAAGAAGAAATATCAAAATCTTTCATGGAAATGAAAAGCAAACACTCATTGAGCTCAATCTCTGACAAAATATCTCTATCAGAATCACTTGAAATATTACTCTCTGGCTCTTTAGAAAATGATTCATCACTCACATCCATATCACTAATTGGCTCATTTACCATGTGAGCATATCCTTTCTCTGACAAATAATGCTGCTCGCCATAATAAACTATAGTCAAGGCATTCCGAATTAAAAAAGGAAAGTATGCGAAATAAAAGCAATGCAGATTGTAACAGAATTCCTCACAATAACCTAAAAGACCCTACATAGTAGCAAAAAAAGGGATATCAGAAACGAAAATCTTTATATCATATAATAATATATCAATATATATAATAATTAGTTAAAGAGCCGAGCTCTGTTTGTTTACATTACAGTTCCCCTCCTCCCCTGCAACGAATGACACCTAAATTAGACAAATGTTATCAAACTAAAGGTCAGGATTCTAAAACTATATTCAGTTCAAAAGGAAGGACACAGAGTGACATCTAGTGGTCTTTAAAAAATAATTTAGCTTAAAATGCACATATGCATCACCCATCCCCTAAGCTCATTCTCCTAAGATGTATGGGTGGAATGCCCTGCTGTCAGAGATCTTCATAGAGAATGCATATATGGGATACACATCCAAGAAAGGGTTAGAAGAAAAG